TGTGTGTTGGTTTAGTAATTTTGGTTTGTGATGATTATTTATTAAAAGTTTTGATAATTGGGTTTTTTGGTAATTTGGTAATTTGATAGTTTGATAATTTGGTTTCTGTTGATAGTTTGATAAATTAGAAATTGTTAGTTTGTTGGTTTTTAGTTTGGTTGTTGGTTTAGCTTAGAAGGTAATTAAATAGTTTGTTAGTTTGGTAATTGCTAATTTAATAGTTAATTGGCTTATGTTGATAATTTGTAGTTTGCTTATATTTTGGTAATTGTTAGTTTGTTAGTTTGGTAGTTTGGTTTATGTTGATAGTTTTGCTTATAAGTATATATGTTGTTATTTATTACGTAGTTGGAGAATCTTCGGTCAATGCTAAACGATGCAGCATGTACTGCGGAACTTCTAACATGGTTTGCGACAAATAAATTATGAGGTGATTCTAGAGGAAACGAGGAGAATCAAGATAATGACACGTCGTACTAATTTGTGTTGTGTTATACTTGTTATGCCATAACTTTATAATACTTTTGTTATTGTTTTGGTATATGTATGAAATTATAACATTTTTGGTACATAAGTGGAAGTTGTTATGTAATTATTTTCTGCATTTAATGTTTCATATTTTCTGCATTTAATGTCGTTACATAGTTGTTTTCTGCACCTGAGATAATTGTTGATTTTAAATATAAAAGTAAAAAACAACTTTACTGACGATGGTTTTAACGACAATATCCGGGTATTAGCGGTGACGATGCCATTAGCGATGATTTAATAGGTATTACTGGCGACAAGACCATTAGTGCCGAAGAGTTTCTTTAGCTGCGGTTGTTTTTTAGCAATACCATCGATATGTCGACGACGCTTTTAACGACAATATCCGGGTATTAGCGGTGACGATGTCATTAGCGGCGATTTAATAGGTATTACTGGCGACAAGACCATTAGTGGCTAGGAGTTTCTTTAGTTGCGGTTTTTTTTAGCAATACCATCGATATGTCGCCGCTATTGTTTTTAGCGGTGATCTTGTATGGTTTTAACCGCAATATTTATCAATCGGTTTTGATGTATATATATATATATATATATATATATATATATATATATATATATAATTGTGAGATATATATATATCATTATCTGTTATCAAATAATGGAAAAAAAATACCCGTACATGTTCTAATGAATGAAAAACTGAAAACCAAACGTTAGAGAAAATCACGTGGTAATGCTTTTTTTTTTAATTGTAATATTCGTTATTAATTAATTCACTATATTTACTTCCAGTAGAGGACACCGAGTGACACGAGATAAGTGCGGGATTGCTTGTGCTTGGTACCGAAATTCCGAAAGTACTACAAAGAACACAATTCCATCAAGTGTGGATTAGTGGTACCATATAAGTTCGTGTGTTTAGCCGGTTAATGAACCCGTCTAACCATTGGTACATTGTAAATTATATCTATATATTTGTAAATTATGTTTGTATATTTTTAAATTTTAAAAAATGAAAAAGTTTAGAAGTGAGATAATATATAAATACTAATATATTTCATATTCATAATGTGTAGTTTAATGAGAAAGGTGAATAATATGATATATTTAACTGACATTTAATGGATTAAACTTTGTTGTTGTAGGATGTTATATTGGCAATTAATGGATATGGAGTTCAATGAACTCTTCAATGAGAAAAAAAAAACCTTTAACTATTAAAAATATATTTCATCAAATTTTATAAAGTTCAATGTATTATAGAATAATTAATGTAGAATTGTATAAAAAATAAAATGATGATGTGTTAATCCATTAAACTTTAATAAATTTAATGTATTATGGATGCCATTAATTTATATAAACAGTTAGGGAAAATGACACAAATGCATACGAACATTTTAGGGTTGGTTTTTTTAGTCCTAAACTATGTTTTTGGCTTTATGAGGGAACAAAGTCGTGAGCAACTTGTCTTTTTAGTCTCTGTTACCTAACTTAATAGGTAGAAATGACACATGGCATATATAAGAATTGTTTTTACTAGTTTTAAAAGTCAAGTCAGCCAAATAGTCAAACTTAAAAGTCAATTGATCCAAACTTCCACGTCTTATCTCCTTCAACGTTTCATACAATCAATCCCAAATAACATTGTTTTCAGAGAAATTCAATCGGAATTTGCATATGAAATCCGAAAAACCACAATCGTTGATTTGTCCTTCAACAATATTAGTGGGTAAATCTCATTATATAGTGTTTTTTGTAATCAAAACGAGAGATACTTCCCTATAAATTCAAATACCTCATATTCAAGAACCGTGTTCAAAAGCATCACAATTGTTAGGATTGTGGTCGGTGTCATCTTCAGGATTTCAAAATCATTACTTCCATCGATGATGACTTTTTCTTCTTTCCTTATGATCTCGATTGATCTGGAAGTCATTTAGCAATGAAACGAAATTTTTCTGAAGTCCTAATTTCATTAGCTAATATGAAATTGAAGAACCCTAACTAAGGATTGAAGGAGTCGAGAATGAATGATGTGGCATTTAATTCGGTTTTTGGGAGTCTGTAGCCAAAGAGTCCATGATCAAACTCATAATCTTCTGAAAAGAATTCACCATACTGCAACACCACCAATCAAAATTACCAGAAAATTCAGCAATTTTTCCAACAATCGGTGCAATTGCAAACTGGTCATTACAACGAAATGGTGGTTTCCGGTGGAAAGGATCACCGACCTCCACCATCACTGCAGGAAAAGAGGTACATAGGCGTTATGCCACGACCATCAGGAAAATTCTCGGCTACGATACATTCACGAAATCATGATATTAAGAGGTTATGGCTGGTGACATACGATAGGACGGAGGAAGCTGCCGGCGTACAATCGAGCAACTTTTAAGTAACATGGAGCAGATGCCATTCTTAACTACCCGGATTTTATAGGAACCATCAATGTAAGTCCTAGAAAAGATACCAACAAGAAAAAAAACAAAAAACAAAAACAAAACTATAGTTGGCATGTAGCATCTCTAGCTGTTAATTTAGGTAACACAAACTAAAAAGAAAAGTTACTTACGACTTTGTTTCCTCTTAAAACCATGGAAATAATTTAGGGATTAAAAAAATTTAATTCTTAAAAATTCATAGGAAATTTATGTTATTTCCCCAAAATATCGATAACCTCCTTTAACTAAAACCAAAGTCTACGAAGTCCAAATTATACTTCATAAATAATATACCTAGAGATATAAATCACTTTCGATCTGAATCTAGCCTTAGCTAGCCCTAACCCTAACCCCAAACCCATGAGTTCTCTTCTAGGAGTAAAACACATGGGTACCAAAACCCACTACATATAACCCTTACAAACCCTAAACATAACAAGCATATGATACGAAGAAACATAGATTTGAACTCATATGAACCTATTTAAAAATCTAGATCACCTCCGTCACAACTAATCCAAGCTACCCACTTCGGTTCAGCTCAGAATTGATCAATTCGGTGTTCTTGTTCATCGTTTAATCTTTCTAGGGTAAAATATTTGTTTGATATAGTTGGTTCTTGAATCACAAGAACCGATCGGAGATGGATCCTACGACACACTCTCTTCCACCTCCGTTTCATACAAGAAACTTCAATCTTCACCAGTTCCAACAGCAAAATTCCGAAGATGAACAAAGCGGCACCAGTGGTCTCAACATGGGTGGCCACAAAATAGACCGTGAAGAGAAGAACAACGAAGAGATGTTAAACACCAGCGGCGGTGGTGGCAGCAGTGAAGGGAAAGACGGAGAAATGGGAAGAAGGCCCAGAGGACGTCCATCAGGGTCAAAAAACAAACCTAAACCACCAATTATAATCACCAGGGACAGCGCAAATGCTCTGCGCACCCACGTCATGGAAGTTTCCGATGGATGTGATGTGATGGACAGCATCAGCACCTTTGCACGCCGCCGGCAACGTGGTGTCTGTATCATAAGTGGGACTGGCACTGTCACAAATGTCACACTCCGGCAACCTGCCTCGCAAGGAGCAGTTGTGACATTACACGGGAGATTTGAGATTCTGTCGTTGTCTGGTTCTTTCCTGCCTCCACCAGCACCGCCTGCGGCTACGGGGTTGACTATTTACTTAGCTGGTGGTCAAGGGCAGGTAGTAGGTGGCAGTGTAGTTGGAGCACTTTTAGCTGCGGGGCCGGTGGTTATCATGGCGGCATCATTTAGCAACGCCGCCTACGAAAGACTCCCTCTTGAAGATGAAGAAAGTACTCTGCCGATGCCAGGTGGCTCGCTTGGATCTCCGGGAGCCATTACACCATCATCACAACAACAACAGCAATTAATGGGGGATCCGTCGCTATTTCAAGGCATGCCACCGAATTTACTCAACTCAATTCAGTTACCAAATGATGCTTATTGGGGTAACAACGGTGGTGGTCGTCCATCTTTCTAAGATCACAAACTGTGTAACTGCATGTCACTAAGCAAATTTTCAGGTTTCGATTCTTTAATTTCCTCTTTTGTTGTTAATTTATGTCAACTCTTGTACTAAATTTCATGGTTTTTAGGATTTCTTGATTTGTGTGTGATGTTACGATGACATACATATGCTTGTATTAATTTGAATTGTAAGAGAGCTTTTCAAAATTTTGATTCTTGGTGAGTAGTTGGGTTGGTTCTAAACTTCTAATAAGATCAAACAATCACATTTTAATAAAAATAAAAAATAAAAAATACGTTCTTCATTCTTCATGTTGTGACACGATAATATACTGATTTGTGCACGATATATATGTGGATTACAAAGTCTTAGTACCCTTAATAATTACATATAGAAAGTAATACCTTTAATTGGTAATTGACGAACTATATGAATAACATTTAGATGGTGTACAATTTGTTTTTTGAAAAATTTGTATCGCATAAAGAGGAAGAATTAATGACATAATCTTATAAAACCTGAACCTTAAAACAAGAGTAGTGTCATCATAACCACTTAATTAATTTGGTTTGTTTTTAACAGTATAGTATGGTTTTAGACGGTCAAATAATATTTTAACAAACTTGAATCATTATAGAATAAAGACTCACACCTATAAATTAGCAATAATCATATTATACACTTGTGATTCAACTCTACGACAGTTATGAAAGATCATATCTTTTGAAGCCTGTTTGAAGGGCGAGAGAGCAGGTTGTATGAAGGGCAGCAAGAGTTTACTTTCTTAAAGGGTTAATGTACTTGCACTTAATTAGTCTGTCTAGCTTTGTTGGGTTATTTTTGGAAAGAGAGATGAGATGCTTTGTTATGAATTGCAATGCTACAAACAAAACATTTTGTTTTCTACTGGCGACTCCTATCTGTCGAGTTAAGTACACCTATATATAATTATTTATGCTTTTCTTTCATCCATTCTTTTCTATTCTTTAAAAATATCTGTTAGCTTTTTGGAAGCAGAGAACAGGTGTTGCTAGCGTTGTTAAAGAATCTCCAACTCAATGGTATAAAAATGTTCCACCACCTTTTATTACATTAAAAAATGTGTGATAAATAATATCGCATAATATTGTATTATATTATTCATTAACAAAAAAATTTAATGTGAATGTTTCACGTCATTTTTACTACTTTAGGTTTCAAATTATATATTCCTAGTCAATTTTAATTGCTCGAAGTTCAAGTTAACAAACTTTTACTAATTTTCATAAAGCAACATTCAAAATTCAATAATTGTTTCAAATTTAACTAAAAATTTGAATATTTTGTAACACGACAACATATCTAATAAACTTAAAATTAAGACACACACACAAACACACATATATATATATATATATATATATATATATATATATATATATATATATATATATATATAAAAGTTAAATTGAGAAAATAAAAAATATTAAGAAATAGATTAATCATTCTCAGTCAATCATTTATTTTTGCCGCAAAACCCTCCATTATACCGGCGAAAATGAAAAATAAATACACGTGTGTTTTCCAAGCAAACATGTTATCTTAAACTATGTTAATTTTATCTTAATATCTACAAAAACATAGTTTTTTTTTTATTTTTAAAAATCTATTTTTATCGAAAAAATATTTTAAATATATCAAGTTTCAAAACTTTTTATTCACTATTAATAGACATCCATATTGATATAGTTTTAAGAAAAATTAAAAAATTATTTTTTTATAGTTTCAGCAATCGTTATTCATAAAAATACATCAGATTTTATTATAGTACATTGGTTATTCACTTATTAATAAAATATATACTTAATTTTTTTACAGTTTAAGTATCACTAATATATGAATATAACATATCATAAAGTTTTTTCTTACCTAAATTATATTTTTATTCATATCTGAATAAAAGTTATATTCATATGTGAATAACATATTTTTTAAAATTTTATTATATGTCATTTGTTATTCATATACGAATAAGTATTTTGAATTTTCAAATCATTTCGTCTCTAATTAATATACTACTTGTTCATATATGAATAAAAAATGAACCGTAACAAAAATATGATAAGTATTTTATTCATACATGAATATAACAAATGGCGAGAGCTAATACGCGCTTTATTCATATATAAATATAACATCTGATGAAAGCTAATATAAAAAAATTTATTTTTGGTAAAAAAAAAACATTATTACATGTTACATCCATATATGAATAATACTTAAACAATAAAAAAATTAATTATATGTTTTATTGATAAATGAATAACAAAGTAACTGTAATAAAAATCTAATAAGTTTTTATTTTCTTATGAATAACGATAGTTGAAACTGTAAAAAATAAATAATTTATTTTTTTGTTAAACTATATCAATATAGATGTCTATTTATAGAGAACAAAAAAACTATGAATTTTGATATATTTAAAATCGTGTTTTGTTAAAAATAGATCTTTAGAAATTAAAAAAATAAAAAGAAACTATGTTTTTTTATATATGAACGTAATGATTAGCAAAATTTAACGAAACATATTTTGTTGGAAACTCACGTGTATACTCTTGCCCATTTTCGCCGGTAAGAGGGAGTGTTTTGCGTCAAAATAAGTGTATGACTGAGATTTATTCACCCATTTTCAACCTTTTTTTTCTCAATTAAACTATTATATATATATATA